ATTCAGGCTTGTCCACCATGTCTTAACCGAGACAAAATGGACTTGGAGAGGGTGTTACGAATGGGCACTCAGTTAGTGCAGGGTCTATGGGGACAGACGTATCCAGAACGCTTGCTCGGTTTGGGGATGTACTCAATGCACTACCGAAGGATAAGAGAGGACCTGATTCCCACCTATCGTATTCTGACGGGTAAGATTGACCTGGACTTGTCAGGGCTATTTAGTTCCCCTACGTTACCTAATCACCCACTGAAACTGCATAAGTCACGGTCTGATAGGATTAGGACGAAAACTCATCTATCGCGCCGAGTTATAGATCGCTGGAATTCGCTTCCAGATCACGTGGTTAGGGAACCTACGGTTAAAGGTTTTGCGCGCCAGCTCGATGCTCTCGGTTGGCAACAGCAAACCTTTCTTTTTTCCTAGCCGACTCACCTTCACTTTTCAGTTATTTTTATTGACTCAAATTTCTTGGTATTCAAATTGCTTAGCTCTTTCCCCTTTCTTTTTGCCTTCTGAGTTTACATTTTTTCTTACTTCACGTAACCGACCCAGCAGGGACTGCTAGGGCAGGATATGTGAGCATTAATTGGTTGGACAGAGTGTGATGCGGTTTTTGTTTTAGGTGCATCAGTATTTCAAAGTTCGCCAACTCCTGGGTCAACGACCCGCCGAAGAAGGAACACTCACGGGATAATCTTATCGTGCTAGTCCCGCTTGAACTTGAACTTGAACACCGTAACCCATTTAAACCGTTCACTTTATTGATTTCTAACCCTCCTCTTACCATATTAACAACGATGATAACATAATACTAAACCCACACATGCGTCGGAAGGCCCAAAATGTTCGTTTATCAAAACACACAACCTTGTGTACCATAATCACACTGCCAAAAGATCATTGATTGCGATTGGCGGATCCGACGCTCCGACAAATATGGCTTTGAAGCGTGTTCTGGTGTATGGTGGGATGGGCAGTCTGGGTGCGGTATGCGCCCGACACTTAAAGGATATGGGTTATGTATGTGGATACCTTTATAACCAGCGACGTTCAAGTGGGTCTGTTCCGTCGACTTGAAAGAGAATTGCGTGGCGGACTGTAATGTGCTGATAAATGAATTTGATTCCTTATCATCCCAACACAACGCCGTTCATCAGAACGTATCAGGACTTTTAGAATGCTCTTCTTTAGATGCCATTTTGTGTGTCGCCGGTGGTTGGGCTGGTGGTAACACTGGCAGTAAAGGTTGTTTGATTTATCTTGGCCTAATCGATTGCCTTATTTTAGATTTCTCGACGAGTTGCGAAACTACTTGGAAGCAGTCCGTTTGGTCTTCCTGCATCGCTTCCTCGCTCGCATCCAAGTTTCTTAGCTCAGGGGGATTGCTCGTTCTGACCGGTGCTGAGGCTGCGATTCAAGCTACTCCTAGTGAGTATTGCTATATTGTGCAGCGCTATGCCCATTACTTCCGTGGTAATAATGTTTTGTGTCATTGAATTGTAAAATCTCATCTAGCTCGACTATCCTGCTCACCGTATGAATGACGCGAACCATTGCGTTGCGACGGCCCACTATAGAGTAGATACGGCATTACATTTGATTCTCGAGGCCAGTTGTCTGACAACTCGTTGAAGCGCACTGCAGACTGTCTAAAACAATCTTCCAACTATTTACCACCCGTGTGGGCAACGTCACCGGAGAGAAATCGGAGCCTCCTTGACTTAAGCAGATACAAGCAGCGACCCCATGTCGAAATATCAGCGAACTTAAGTCGCCTGTCGCTCATTTTCCAACTCCAATCGAACACTTAAGGTGGACAGGAAATCACTAAAGCGACGACGGTACTCCAGGTAAGGTAGGTTCACTGGTTGAAAGCTGTCAAAAGCCCATCATTTATCGAGAATGGGCGTTAACGTAGTGAAATTTTTTTATACCGCGTCGGTCGTGCGCTGTATATCAGATCCGCAGCTGCATTTTTAACCAAACGCAAGCGATAGAACCCCGAAAATACACTAGCAAAAACTTTGGAAAAGTTGATGAACTAGCTGGGGCTCAAATTAAGGTTCCGGAACAGCTTGCTAAGGATGATGTAAACTGGTTCCGAGTGTACCAATAGCCTGTCACCTCTGAATGAGCGCAGCACTTGCGTGTGTTGTGTCTCAAACAGCAGCATTCAAACAAGCAAACCGCTTACTTCTCTAATGTATAAGAGAACTATGGTTTTAGCATATTTTATAATGGTTTAGTTAAATGTGGGAACCTCCAGGTCACTACAGTTTGGGTGCTTTGGCGATCTATTGAGCTTCGTTGGTGCTTCTTGTGCCTTCAGAGCCACACACCAAATTACTCAGTGGTAAAAGGTCGGATTAACTCAATAGGTCACTGCCCAAACCCTGCTGCCTTGTTGGCTTTATTGGAGAACCCTAATCGTTCTCCTCTCCAAGCCTTGGCAACCTGACCGTATCCTGCCCACGCAATGCAACAGTTTCCTGATTCCCTGACTGTCGTAGAGGATACTCAACGGCGCCCTCTCTGCTGCATCAAGCAGCGTAGGGTCCCATGCTACAGCTCAGGTCCTCCTGCTTGCTTATTTCCTCTCATATGCCTCTTTATCCATACCGTTTTCCAACTTCACGTTTATGCTCTCTTTTCAACTCCCCAATAGCTGGACCTCCATCTAGCTTCAGTAGTCGCCCGTCTTCTATTTTCACCTTACACGCGATCTCAGTGCGTCGCTCCAGTCTAGTGGGCAAGTCCATGTTCAACCAAGTTCATCCGTTTCTCGATCCTAGCTAAGACTACCATGCCTTAAATGTACGCACTTTGTTACCGATTGGCCAACAGGCAGCACTTGCACGAAACGTGCGGAGCCTTTAAATCGGCTGCTGTCCCGGATACAGTAGTTTTTTCGGAATATTTCGACATTAACCTTTCCCAAACTATATCCAAGATCACCACGGCTGCCCTTCGTTTACTTTTTGAGGAAAACTTGAAGTTGGACTGTCCTAGTTGGAACTCTAACTTGGAACGTCGTCCTATTAACAGGATGCATCTCTAAATTATTCTGCCCAGAAATGTTTAGTTGTTGCTCGTTTATACTGACTATTATTCAATTGATACCTGTACATAGTGTTCTTTTTCCATTCATACATGTTTACAGTTCTGATGATATGATTCTAGCCCATTCTTATCTGATATTGTAAAGTGCAGAAAATGTGCCCATCTGGACATAATCTTTTTTTATTTGTCTTGACTTGTACACTAGAGCTTTCGATCGCTATCTACTGCTTTTCAGAAACCCACCTGCAAGACTCCAACCCTCTGCTCAACTTCATGTGAGACTGGTGGTACTTTCTCATTTCGTCTATCCGGAGATAATGCGGCTTTAAATGCCGGATTCCAACAGGTTCACCGACCTCTCGGTTATCCAGTTCTTCGCAATGAGGCTGGACCTTACCGTGGTGCGAAGGTTTGTGTGCCTCAGCGATCCATTGAGCTATGCTGGGTGGTGTTTTTTTTGCACCTTCAGAGCCACTCACCAGATTGGTCAGTGGTTAGAGGCCAGACATACTCAGCCTCCAGGTTGGGGGTTGAAATGAGGTGGCTCCTTATTCCTTAAAACGGGCTCCTTGTAGCCCAACGCCAAACCCGCTGCCTTGCGGTCAGATTTTTGAACCAAAGGCTTTGGTTGAGAACCCTAATCGTTCTCCTATGTAGGCCTGGGCAACCTGACAGTATCCTGCCCACGCAATACAATGAATTTCTCTTCAAACAGTTTCTTGGTGCTCTGGCCACTACAGAGGATAATCAACGGTGCCCTATCTGCTGCATCGAGCAGGGTGGATAGGGGTTTAAATGCTACTGCTCCAGCTTTCCCATCTTCTTATTCCCCCTCTTACGCTTTTTCTCTCTTACCGTCCCGTTCCAGCTTCACTTTTATCTCCCTGTCTTCAACCCCCAATTCTTGGCCCTCCCCCACCTTGTTTTGCTAAGCTTCTACCTTCTAGTTTCAACTCGCATGTGAACGCGGAGCGTCATTCCTGTCCTGTCAACAAGCCCATGTCCAACCAAGCGGCCAAGCCCTGTTCATTGACTTCCATTTCGAGACCTCGATCGTCCTTCAGATTGGCATGCCTCAGTGTACGCACATTGCTACAGCTCGGTCAACGGGCAATACTTGCCCGAACATTAGAGATCCTCTCGATCGATATCTGCTGTTTATCGGAGACCCGCCTGCAAGATTCGAGCTCTGTGCTCACTTTACGATCCCCTTCAGGTGACACCAGTGACACTTTCTCCTTGCGCCTATCCGGTGACGATGCAGCTTCGAGCACGGGCCAAGCAGGTGTTGGTATTGCCCTGAGTCCCCGGGCTGAAGCTGCTCTGGTTGACTGGATTCCAATCAGTAGCCGGATGTGTGGGGTCCGATTGGCTGGCTTATTCATGGCATCGAAGTCACGCGGGACCAACAGGTGTTTATTCGTCATCGCTGCCTATACACCCACAAACTTTACTTTACTGTCATGATAGCGAGAAAGATGTTGAACATCTATGTAGCTATATCTCAATGTAGGACATGTCCCACTGACACAGTGTTACCTGTAGTAGTGAGCTAGCCCAGGTGAAAAACGTAAAATATTTACAAGCATAGAAAAAAACCTCCATGTACTTACGATATATTCTTGGATGAACCACATGGAGTCCTTCACCAGCTCCACCGCCTATTACGGATGGGCATCGTTTCGGAAGCTGCAGTTGGTGGATTAACGGGCTCCATGGGTTATAATCATTGAACGATTCCTTCGTCAGTTTCCTGTGAAGGCTTCGTCGAATCTGGCATCCGCAAAGTGCGCGTCCAGGAATCGTTTGAATTCCGACACCGAGTTCGCTTCTACTATCCGCGAGGGCAAACGGTTCCACATGTTCACCACTCGCCGCTCAAGACACAAGGGATGAGCTACCTACTTGAGGTCAGGGACTATCAGTTTGTACTGGTGACCTCGTGTGCTGCTTGACGCACGGACATGGAGCAGTGGCCTCAGCATCGGATAAGCACCCAGATGCAATACCGATGGGTCATGATGAGGTCCACTCGCACGCGGCGGTAGGCTAGAGTATACAGACCCAATTGTCTGCATCTTTCTTCATACGGCACACCCTGAAGACCGGGAATGAGCCGTGTGGCTATGTGTTGTACTCTTTCGAGCTTGTGTATCTCGCCTTTCATCAACGGACAGTAGGCGGGTGAGCCGTATTCTAGCACCGGTCGTACAATGGATGTGAAGAGACGAGTGGCAATCTCTTTCGACCAGGTGCGATGATTCAGTAAAAGCCGACTACTATCGCCAATTGAACGAGCTCCTTAGCCACAGAAGGAGCTCGGACACTAGTGTGCTGGCTGGGGATCTGAACGCTCAAGTTGGAAAGTTGTCACTGATGAACTGCATCTGGGCGGCCAACATGGTGTAGGCTCCCGTAATGATAACGGTGAACGGTTACTTTTTTGTGTGAAGATGCTCGCTTATTTCTTGCGAGCACTAATTTCCGACACAGCACCCGCCGGAGGGTGACTTGGCGCCCACCAGCCTCGAACCAGCTATGGACGCAAGTCGATCACATTGCGATAAGTTACCGATGGAAAGGCTGCATCCGAAACTGTCGCTCGATTTGGAGCACATGTGTGGACACCGACCATGCACTTGTATGTGAAGACCTGCGGATGTGCTTTGGCGGACGCCCACAACGACGTTGTGACCGCATTGACACCAGCCAACTGCCGAAACCAGCTGTTCTGAATGCCTCTCAAAGTGCGCTGTCATGCAAGTTGAGTAAGCGCTCACTGGGTACAATTGAAGGTCACTGGTCACATGTTCACCAGACCCTAGTAGCAGTAGGCAAATCCTCATGTGGTAAGTCTAATAGCCAACATGGACATTGGGTCTCTTCGCAGCCTCTGGAACTTATCGATGCTCGCCGGCATATCCCGACTGGAAGCGAACACGGTGAAACTCGCAAAAAGCTCCAGATAAGACTCCGTGCTAGCCTGAAGAGAGACCACGGATCCTGGTGGTCTCGTCGTGCATCAGAGATGGAAATGGCCGCTGCCCTTGGTAACCATCGTAAGTTATTCCGGCTGATACGGGAAACGGGCAGCAGAAGACCTGGTGTTAGTGAGACTATACGTGACGAGAGTAGACAGCCTATCCACAACTTGTCAAGACGCTTGGAGCGTTGGGCTGAGCACTTGGAAAGGCAATTTATCTGACCGGAATTGTTAGACTTCTCGCCGGCCACTGATCTCCCCGCTCCGTGGGCTGTCCCTTTGGATCCACTGTCTCGCTCAGAAGTCGCACGTGAGATCGGACTGTTGATGTTTAATACAGCTGCGGGACCAGATGTTCTTTTTTCCATCCCTCTTCAAATTCGGG